TGTCTGTTTTGACCATTTTTTAATTATTATTCATTTATTCACATGTGCATAGTTTATTTGGGTCATTTCTCCCTCCTGCCCCCGCCCCCAGCTCTTCGTTCTTCCCCACTCCTTTCCAGGCAAAACCTGTTCTGTGTTTTTCTCCAGTTCCGTTGAAAAGTAGAAATAAGCAATAATAAGAAAGACATAGCATTTTTGCTAGTTGAGATAAGGACAACTATACAGAGAGATTCCTAGCATTGCTTTCATATACAAATGTGTTACAACCCAGGTTGATTCATCTCTAACTGGTCTCTACACTGATTCCTGATCCCCTTCTGGTGTTGACCTCTGTTGTTTTAAGGTTTCTGTATTAATTCCTCTGGAGTGGGGAAATCAAATGCTTCCATGTTTTGGGCTTTCTGTCTAACCCTGTACTTTCCCGTATATGTTTTCCCTGGTCATGTAACCCAGTCCTACAACACTGCTGTTTTCCCTAGATCTAAAGACCACATATGAGGGAGAATATAGAATGTTTGGTCTTCTGTGTCTGGCTAACCTCACTCAGAATGATGTTCTCCAGTTCCGTCTATTTACTTGCAAATGATAAGATTTCATTCTTCTTCATAGCTGAGTAAAATTCCATTGTGTATAAGTATCGTATTTCTTAATGCATTCATCAGTAGTGGAGCATCTTGGCTGTTTCTATAACTTGGCTATTGTGAATAGTGCTGCAATAAAAATGGGTGTGCAGGTGCCTTTGGAATAACCTGTGTCTCATTCCTTTGGGTATATACCCAGGAGTGGGATTGCTAGATCATATGGTAGATGTATGCTTAGAATTTAAGAAACTTCCAAATTTTTTTCTGGAGTGGTTTCACCAGCTTGCATTCCCATCATCAGTGTTCTTTTTTCCCCACAGCCTCACTAATACCTGTTGTTGGTGGTGTTTTTGATGATGGCTATTCTAACAGGGATGAGGTAGAATCTTAGTGTGCTTTTGATTTGCATTTCCTTTATGGCTAGAGGTAGTGAGCATTTTTTCGTGTGTTTTTTGGCCATTTGAATTTCTTCTTCTGAGAAAGCTCTATTTGTACTTTTCCTTTGAAAACACTCTGTTCAGTTCATTTCTTCATTTCTTCATTGGATCATTGACTTTTGGGGAGTTCAGCTTTTTTTAGCTCCTTGCAAATTCTGATTATTAACCCCTGTCAGTTGTAAAATTAGCAAAGATTTTCTCCCATTCTATGCCTGCCTCTTCAGTCTGGTGACCATTTGCTACACAGAAGCTTTTGATTTTCATGTAGTGCCATTGGTCAGTCCTTTCTCTTAGTTGATCCATTGGAGTTCTATTTAGGAAGTCATTGCCTATGCCTGTGTGTTGCAATATATTCCCTACTCTTTCTTGCACTAATTTCAAAGCTTCAGGTTTTATAGTAATGTCTTTGATCAACTTTGCATTGATATTTGTATAGGGAGAAAGGCATGAATCTAGTTTTAGTCTTGTACATGCAGATATCCAGTTTTCTTAGCAACATTTGTTGAAGAGTCTATCTTTTCCCCATCACATGTTTTAGGCATCTTTGTCAAAAAAAAAAGGTGGATATAGTTGTGAATATTTATTTCTGGATCTTCTATTTGATTTCATTGGACTCTGTGTCTGTTTTTGTGCCAGTATTACTTGTTTTTAATATTATGGTTCTATAGAATAATTCAAGGTTGAATATTGTGAGAACTCCAACATTGCTTCTTGCTCCCACATAGGAATTTTTAAAGACTAGTTTCCCAATGTACACTTATTATCATCAACATTTTTCAATCATTTTATTTTTTGATGTGGAACAAATAAAATAACATTAGCACACTTTTTTGTTAATTGTGTTTCAGAGACTTTCAAAAGTACACAACTCCAAGTTGCTTGAGGGATCAAATACACTGGAGAACCTGAGCAGGAATAAGTACCATGGCTCTATGGTGCGATCCTCTGTTGCTTGTGATAGGGAGAGTTGAAGGTGAATGTTCTTGTGCTGGGTGAGGAGTGTAGAACAATCTGGACTTAGCCAGGATTGGCTCTAAGTGATAGACAAAGTGATCTGTCCCCAGATGTCATGGACAGTGTTTGGGAAGTCTTATTGACCCTGCTGGTAAGTACTTTCTATGACATCTGAGTTTCTATACGTTTATTTCATTGGCTTCAAAATGTACTAACCTACATGTGAGGGACCTATGGAGGTCGCTAACAAATGACAGTTTGATATGGAAAATGAAAGGAGATGGCTTCCTGTTTAATTGTCAGGAAGTCTGAGGAGACAGTACCACTTACTAATTGTATGTTTGTTAGCTGTTTATTAAACCTCACTTTAGACATCTGCAATTATCACCATTAAGTTTTAAAATATACAATATGGGCACTGTGAAATTTAGGTGAAATACTACACGTGGAACACAAAGCACAGTGCTTGACTCTGAATAAATTGTTCAAAAATGTTAACTATTATTTTTAAAATTATAAATCCTGGTATTATAATGAGAGTAGAGTATATTGAAATCATAAGATATTGACATTGAGATCAAAAAACAGGAATTTTGAACTTTTTTCCACAGAAAATCACTTGAGTGCTTATAGACTGTGCTAAACAATTGTTCTTATTTTAAATTAAACATTTGATTTTAAATCAATAACTTACATAACTCATAATAAATGTACAATCATATGATGTATACATTAAAGTAGCCTATGTTTTAATCAAATGCCTATGGCAAAGAGCATTTTCTAGTGAAGAGGAAAGAAAGAGTTAAATAGATGGGATCTATGTATTATTAGACAGTGAGCAGTTCATGAGATGATAATATGTTAGGGGAGGTAAAAGAGATTGGTAAAGACAGTAGATTGCAAAATATTGATTACAGAACACCATAAAAAGTCATGTGAGATATTATAAAGAACTGACAATGTAAGAATTTTATTTCTGAAGATAAATGTAGGGAAGGAATTCTAAGATCAGGGAAGAACATGTAGCAAAGCATTAAAAATTCCCTATTTGTTCTAGGAATAAGAATGAGGACAGAGTAGTCTGAGTGCAGAGAAAACTGAATGGGTGAACAGAAGTTGGTAGTGCAGGGAAATGAGGGGCAGATCACACACAGCTTAGACATCTTTGTAAGGATATTGAATTTTATTCTGAGTAAGTTGAGAACTCAGGGGAATATTTAGAACATAACAGTATCAAGATCAATTGGAATTTAAACAGGACCACTTTGGATGTCAAGTTGACTCCAGTGTGTGTAAGAATGTAAGGAAAGAGAAACTTACAAGACTTGCAGTGCTACAAATGGGAATAATGGTGGCTTCACTTGGGGTGTAATTATAGAAGCTGGGAAACAAACAAACAAACTAGCCATTGTCCAGGTACATTATAAAGGTAAAGACCAGAATACATTTCTAATTAATAAGGGACAAAGTGAAAGATTGAAATAAGGTAAGAGTAATACTAAATGAGTTCCAGTGACCTGGAATAATACCATTTTCTGCAGTAAAGAAAGAGCTTTAGGAAGAATATCTGGTAGTAATCTTATAACAGGAATTAAGATCACATTCAAATCTGTTTCTGGAGTATTTAGAAGAGACATGGTCAACAAACATGACATTCAGAATTACACACAGATAACATTGAATACTGGAGATCACTTGAGAGTACTTTTAGATGAAAAAAACAAGAGATGAAAATATGCTCAAGGGAACGTTCCAAGATTTAAGAGCTGTCATTATAGTATGAGAGAAGACAAAAAGAAACAAAAAAAAATCAGGCGATGATTATTGGGAACTAAAAAAAAGAGCATTTTCTTTCAGGAAGGAGTGATAAAAATACCATACATGAGATTGAGCAAACCAGATGAGACTCAAAAGTTTTACTGGTTTAATCCTATGAAGTCATTGAGCCTGTAGGGGAGTAGCAGGCATGAAGCCATCCTGTATCTTATTACCATTCTATATTCAGTCAATAAAAGGACTATTAAGATTGAAATTTATTAAGACACATATTGAGAATTTGAGTATAGACTATGTTCTTTTTTTTTTTTTCATTTTTCTTTTATTATTCATATGTGCATACAAGGCTTGGTTCATTTCTCCCCCCTGCCCCCACCCCCTCCCTTACCACCCACTCCACCCCCTCCCGCTCCCCCCCTCAATACCAGCAGAAACTATTTTGCCCTTATCTCTAATTTTGTTGTAGAGAGAGTATAAGCAATAATAGGAAGGAACAAGGGGTTTTGCTGGTTGAGATAAGGATAGCTATACAGGGCATTAACTCACATTGATTTCCTGTGCGTGGCTGTTACCTTCTAGGTTAATTCTTTTTGATCTAACCTTTTCTTTAGTTCCTGGTCCCCTTTTCCTATTGGCCTCAGTTGCTTTAAGGTATCTGCCTTAGTTTCTCTGCTTTAAGGGCAACAAATGCTAGCTAGTTTTTTAGGTGTCTTACCTATCCTCACCCCTCCCTTGTGTGCTCTCGCTTTTATCATGTGCTCAAAGTCCAATCCCCTTGTTGTGTTTGCCCTTGATCTAATGTCCACATATGAGGGAGAACATACGATTTTTGGTCTTTTGGGCCAGGCTAACCTCACTCAGAATGATGTTCTCCAATTCCATCCATTTACGAGCGAATGATAACATTTCGTTCTTCTTCATGGCTGCATAAAATTCCATTGTGTATAGATACCACATTTTCTTAATCTATTCGTCAGTGCTGGGGCATCTTGGCTGTTTCCATAACTTGGCTATTGTTCTTAGCTTGTATTAATATGGAAATACAAATAAAAATCATATTCAATGAGAATTTTATTTGCCTACAAAAATGAAAATTCTTTCTAAATGAGCCATTGGAGTGTGGCATTCCACACTTGTATGATTACCAGGAAAGCATTATACTATACATAGCTTAGAACTTTACCGTATTTCAACTCAGTAATTCAGGCCAAATCCTCATTTTCTTTCCTCTAAAATGAGAATTAATACTTCAATGGAGAAGAAAAATCACACAGCAACTGAGTTCATCCTGTTGGGCTTCACTACCAATCCTGTGACTCAGCAAGTCCTCTTTGTGGTGTTCCTTGTCATGTATGCATTGACTGTGGTGGGAAATTGCACCCTTATAATATTGATCTGTAATGACTCTCGCCTCCACACACCCATGTACTTTTTCATTGGAAATCTATCTTTTCTTGATCTCTGGTTGTCCTCTGTCTACACTCCAAAGATCCTAATGACCTGCATCTCTGAAGACAAGAGCATCTCCTTAGCTGGCTGTGTGGCTCAGTTCTTCTTCTCTGCTGGATTGGACTATAGTGAGTGTTATCTGCTGGCTGCCATGGCCTATGACCGCTATGTGGCCATTGCAAAGCCACTATTTTATTCTCAGGCCATGCCTTTAAAGTTATGTGTATTCTTTGTAGCAGCCTCATATCTTGGTGGTTTTATTAACTCTTCCATCATCACCAAAAAAACTTTTACCTTTGACTTCTGCAATGACAATGTCATTGATGACTTTTTCTGTGACTTGATTCCCTTGGTAAAGCTGGCCTGTGGAGGGAAAGAGGGCTACCAGGCTTTGATGTATTTCCTCCTCACTTCTAATGTCATCACTCCCATCATGTTCATCCTGGCCTCCTACCTCTTCATTATCACCACCATTTTGAGGATGTGCTCCACCCAGGGTCGCCTCAAGGCCTTCTCCACATGTTCTTCCCACCTGATCTCTGTGACCTTATACTATGGTTCTATTCTCTACATCTACCTTCGTCCCCAATCAAGCTACTCTTTGGATACAGACAAAATAATTTCTACATTTTACACTGTGGTGTTTCCCATGTTGAATCCCATGATCTATAGCCTGAGGAATAAAGATGTGAAAGAGGCTCTGAAAAATTCTTCAAATAAATCAGGATTATTTCCTTCTAAGAAGAGGCACAGATTATTCTTAAGTAGGATATTTTATTTCAAGCACAGGTGCTGGAGATCTCCATTAAAATACCATGTAAGTTAAAGTGTTTCTACCCTTCACAACATGCCAGTGAAGAAGATCCAAACTTTTTAAAAAATAGGATAATGAAGGTGATAATGCATGAATGTAAAAATGTATGAATTTGATTAAATTTCATATTACTTTTGATTAAAAACAAATACTTAAGCAAACAATTTTCCTTTAACTTTAAGAAATGACAGAAGATTCACTCTCTTTAGTAGAATATTTTGTTGACTGGAATATATAACAGTATCTATGCTTAGTTATTACTCCAATTAAGTAAACTGAGGAGTTAATTTTAATAGTTTATTTTGAGTCATGACTATGTTGTATTTATGACCTTTCTTTTCCTCAGCACAATATCTTAAACATTTTTAAGTAAAACTCTTTATTATGAAAATTTTGCACAATGATCCAAACGTACTCAAGAAATGCTTTGGTACAACTTCTTCCCAACAGCCATGATTCTTGTAATCTATAGGCCTCTGAGGTTGCACTAAACAACTCCCTGGGCTCCACTTTTTTTGAAACAGAGGAAAACATAAAAGAATCTCCATATTGTGATCACTAAACACAATCATTATAAAAAAACAATAACTACAGTTAAGTAAAACATCTTGAAAAATAAAAGAATATGAGCACACATTCATAAGTGGAGAAAATTTTATAGAGAAAATACATAGTGATAAAATTAAATAGTAAATGTGATATGGTGCATTGAATTTTAATTAAACTTTCAAATTAGAACAATGCCTATGTTTTATTTGCTTTTAAAGCTTAAATATGCTTTGCTTTTACTGGCATATTTAGTAACAAAACAGTGTAGAAGAAATTGTGAGTCAAAAGACTTAGCAAACACCTGCTAGGACCCAAATACACTGGTGATTACACAGGTTTACCTGGCCTCAGATAAGGACTGTAATCTGTATCCATTGTAACACACACTGACCCTGTGAAAACAGGCATCAACAGTATAATTCCACGATGCTTCATTTGGAAAGCTGTAGAAATTCAGTCTCTGGTTTTTGAAAAGATAGTTTTTATTTCTCACTAATAATTATAAAATTATTATAAAAGGCATTCTTTCAAGATAATTTTAACAAGACCACATTGCATATTATAGTGGCAGAACATCTGTTAATTCATGTAATTAAGTTAAACCAAAAAATACATAATTCCACTGAGAAACACTGAGTATAAAAGGTAAAATAAATACCAAAAATTTATTCTTACTGCATATCCCTATCATAAACACTGAAACATAACTGTATTTTGAAAGCATTTTCCAGCTATTTTCCAGGCCCTCTATGCTAAGTCTCTTAAGGGAAGCAAGCCAGGCCCCTTTTCCAAATAAAAACAACATATGTGCAAATACTGAAAGCTTAGATCAACTAAATGTAGCTTCATTTTATTTTTATATGAAAAACTTGACTCCAGAATCATGTATAAGTAATATCATCAAGGCCCTATGGAAAAAAAGAAAGAGCAGCTGCTAATAAATGTAGAAAAGCAAATATGTGCAATATATAAAATGTAATTAGACATGTAGAATTGATGTTTTAGAACATATTTAAATATGTACTTAGTAGGAAGCTCTTTCTCTCTCTGTAGGGAATATTTCACATGCAATTTATAGCCTCAAAGTCTTCAAAAGAATCTTCCATATGAATTTGAAATTATACTATAAACTCTTAAGGAAATTTTCTTAAGTACAAAGTTCAAACTCTTAATACAATATGGTTTCCAGATGTATCTTTACAATGAATTTTAATAAATTAAATCTATTTCATGTTTTAATTTATTTTACATCTTTATTGAGTATATTATAATATTTTTATTAGGATATATTCAATGGCAAGGGGGATTCATTATGACAATACCATATAGGCTTATATTGTACATTGGTTAGCTCATCCCCACCATCTCTCCTCCTCGACCTCCTCCCTGCTCACTTAAAGCAATGAGGCTTCTGTGTTCTATTTCATGTAAGCATATGAAGTCCATCCATCATATACTTCACCTTAACCTCATTCATTGCCCTACCCCCTCCCAGAAGTGTGCTGGCACATACACTGTACCTATTTTACAGTCCTGTCTTTCATTTTTAATATTTAAGTCAGTGTTCCAAGGGGTTTCTCAATGTGTCTCTGCTTCTTTTGGTCCTTTCAATCCCTTCTGTTGTTCTCCTTTACCCTTTTATGTCCCACCCCCCATTTTTCAAGTTTTCAATACATAGCCTCTTGTCCTCTACCTAAACAGATGTTATGTTTTATAACATTACTGATGCTCTGTCATTGTGTTTTCCTTTCCCTCCTTCCTCTCCTTCCATAGAGTAGTTCCACTGTTACAAACATGTTCTACATATGAGTTTGCATTTGATCATGGTCATTTTTGTGTATATGTTTTTCTTTGGATCTATCTTCCTAGTATGAGAGAATACATGCAGCCTTCGTGTTTCTGAGCCTGGCTTACTGCACATGCATGATGTCCTGCAGTTGTATCCATTTACCTTCAAACTACATGTCATTATTCCTTATGGCTGAGTAAAACTATTCTGTGTATATATACCACATTTTCTTGATCAATTCATCAATTGTAGGGCTTCTAGGTTGTTTCCAAAGCTTGGCTATTGTGACTAGTGTGGCAATGAGCATTGGTGTACCAGTGTCTCTATTGTATCCTGACTTACATTTCTTTGAGTAGATGCCTTAGAAGTGGTATCACTGGATCATATGGCAGTTCTATCTTTAGTGTTTTGAGGAATCTCCATACTACTTTCCATAGTGGTTATTTTAATTTGTGTTTCTGCAAACAGTGTATAAGGGTTCCTGTTCTGTCACATCCTTGCCAGCATTTGTTGTTTTTTTGCCCTTGAATATAGCCATTCTAACTTGGGTGAGATGAAATCTTAGTATAGTTTTGATTAACACTTCCTTGATAGCCAGGGAAGTTGAGCACATCTTCATAGATTTCTGGTCATTGTACTTCTGTTTGATACATGTATACAATGTTTAATGAAAGTAAACATATTTAAAAATATTTTTTAAGTAGATTGCTCTAGGGAATAAGTCTCTGAGATATAAATGTTCTACAGAAAATAAACAATTTTTAGTATTTGTATTCATCTGTGTTCTTCATAGAACAGGAACTCTTAGGATATCTATGTGTGTGTGTGTGTATATATATATATACACACAATACAATACACAACACACATATAAACATGTTGCTTATGAAATTTAGGACTTACAAATCTTCAGGGTAACTATGCAGGCTCAAGACCAACAAGAGCCTAAAGGTTCAGGAGAGCCCCTGGTACATATGAAGTCCAGAGGTAGTGACAGAGAATCTCCTCATGGAAAGCCACCACCACCTTCTTCTTCCTTCTTCTTCTTTCTCCTTCTCCTTCTCCTTTCTTCCTCCCCTTCCCTCCTCCTCCTCCTTCTTCTTATCTTTCTCTTCACCCTCATCTTCTTCTACCTTCCTCCTCCTCCTTTTCCTCCTTCTTCTTTTTGTTCAACTTTTTAAGGCCTTCAAATGATTAATTTATTTAAAATTTCCTTGCAAATTAACTTCTCTGAAACTTGTTTAGCAAGTATTCTAATAATTTCACCTCCAGATTTGGTAATGGCATTTGGTAGAGCACTCTCCTTCTTCCTCCCCCTCCCCCTCCTCCTCCTCCTTCTTCTTATCTTTCTCTTCACCCTCATCTTCTTCTACCTTCCTCCTTCTCCTCTTCCTCCTTCTTCTTTTTATTCAACTTTTTAAGGCCTTCAAATGATTAATTTATTTAAAATTTCCTTGACAAATTAACTTCTCTGAAACTTGTTTAGAAGTTATTCTAATAATTTCACTCAGATTTGGTAATGGCATTGGTAGAGCACTGTAATGTAAGCAATCATTACAGCCCAGATCTCCCCCTCTTTCTTCACCTGGAAGCATTTAATCAATTTTCAATGAAAATATGAATACACTTATGAAATGCACACATAGCAAACAAAGATATTGTATGGAGGGCACTATGGTAGGGCAGAGATATATACATACGCCGCTGAACAAAAATGGGCAGACTCAGAGAGTGGATGGGTGAATATTTTTGGGGTAATATGGCCAGAAATAGAAGTGGTGTACCTCCATTTGTCTATGTCTCCTCTCATGATCATGGTTTAACTACAGAAGTATCTGTAAATTGCAGTTTTCCTGTGTGTCCAGATATAGCAGATGTGCTTGGTACACACCTATCCCTGCAGAACATCAGCTATTTCTGTAAGTTGAATGGAACCAGAGAAATACATCATTTAAAAGGAAATCATTGTCTACAAAATGTAAAACCCATGTGAAAAATGTATTGTTAAAACATATCAGTATCATAAACACTGACGCATAAATTCTGGAAGAATGCTTAACTACCATGCAGGGCTCTATACTATTCCTTTTTGTAGAAATAAGCAAATTTCTGTCTTCAAATAAGAATCAATATATATTGTATGCTTGGTTGACCTATGTGTTTATTCAGGTTATTTATGTGAGGAAATATATCTTGAATCATGTATAAATTTTATCAGTAAGACCCTAGATAACATGTAAAATGCCAAATGGGCAAGTGGTTCATGACAGTAATCATCACTTGTGGAGACTGAGGCAATAGATTGTAAGTTCTAGGCCAGCCTGGGCAACATGTGAGATCCTGTCTCAAAAAAAAGTAAAATGCAGTTTGTAATAAACTTAGCAAAACATAAAGATAAATAAGAACACAATAATAATGTAATTAAGCATGCCAAATTCCTGTGTTACAATATTCTTGCATGTTAATTTAACAGTAATGTTTTGTCTGCAATTTATGGCTTTAAAGTGTTCAGAAGAGACTTTCACATGAGTTTGAAATTGCTGTATAAATTCCTAAGGGAATTTGCTTAGTCAACTCACAAAGTTCAATCTTTTAAGACAAAATGCTTTCAAAGTGGGCCTTTTAGATGTGTCAGTTTTAATAAAATAAGCATTTTTTGAAGTACAAATTTTAA